CGCCCGACGCACCCCCCCCCCGCGCCACCCTTCGTCCCTCACCCCGCTTCAGCCGCTCGATCGCTCTATCAACCCCACTCGCCGTTGCACCCGTTGCCTCCCCCGCGGGCTGTCGTGCTCCACGTCTATCTCACCAGCTAGCTAACCTCCCGACTCGCGTACCCCGTTTTCGGAACTATTAGGGACCCTTGCCTAAACCCACATCACTTTGGCAGGTGGAGTAATCCACCGGCTCCGGGGTTCACCTGCGCCGTAATGACACGAGGGATGCTCCCCGATGCTCGATGATGAACAATAGGATCTTCATCGAGGAACGCGTAATCAATGCGCGAGATCACTCGTGAAGGTTTTGTACGTTACGTTTAACCGTTTAACTCAGAGACGAGCAACGCGCTTAGAGCACCAGGTTGATGTATGTTGGTGTGCGTTACATTAGCATCCTGAATTATTAATTAAGTTTTGGCGTACTACAAATCGAGTAGCAAACAGTGCATGCATACGGAATGCACAGCAAATGACCTCGATCCATCGTACGTGACGCTTACTAAGTATATTAATTTTTTATCTCTTGTGGCAATTAAAATATTGATTTGGAAAATGTCCATGAAACATAGAAGACCATCCAGATTAAAAATTATAACGCCATATTTTTATCGAAAAAAAAAAATAAAAAAAATTAAAAGTTCATTTCTCTAATATCGCTAATTATAATTTGTTCGCTATCTTTTCCATTATCTTTTCATAATTACGCGAGCGTGATTAATATTTGCACAAATTATAGTTTGCTGTAACTCGAAGAAAAAAAAGAGAACACGTAACGAACAAAGATTAGTGTCGACCGACGTCAGATAAATCGGCCCTAAGTGACGCGAGTAAAATCGCGCTCATTTGTTCGCGGGTAATTGACATTAAGTTTAGAATGACGTTTTCCAGAACGGACGTCGTGAAAGCGATATTTTTGTAGACGGGGACGGTGAATTATTACGTTCGTCCGTTTACGTGACAAGATGGAATGAGTAGAACGTACTTTTACTTTTTCCCGAAGCCGAGAACGCGCAAAGGGAGTTCCAAAATTGTCTCCGGTTTTTTCAGCTGCGGATTTTTCCATTAATTTAAAGCCACCGGTACGTTTGACGATTTAACACGCTCGGATGAATAATGCTCCAATGCGTGCAAATGAGAACAGCGACTCTTTGAATTTTACCCCTTAATGAAATCTTCATTTGAGAATAATCTATCAAAATATTTAATATTAAAGCACTGAGAAAGAGATGATCCCGATCGAAATTTCCTTAAAAAGAAAATTACTTCGTACCTACTCGGAGAATATATAAAAGTGAAAAGAGTAGAGGCACTTTTTCCGGAAATGCCCGTATGTGCGGAACAAGCTGCGGTACGTATATAATGTAGACGGCTAACAAAACGGTCGGACTTGATGAATAAAAGGTCTATTATCGCATTAACTACGGCACCCGCGATAATTAGTTTTCGCGGAACATGATAACACCGCGATACCTTCTTGCGCGCCGTCACTTTACACTCGAGCGCTAATCAAATAATGAGACGGTACAATTGAGAATTAGTTGAGGCACGCTTAATCCAATTTGTCGTCCAATGTAATCATTGTCGTTATCGTAATTTCGCCGGGTTAAATCGGTATTTCGCAAACATGTATCTGTACGCGACGTATAGATCGTCTGTAAAACTATTCCAAGCAGCTCAATCGCATTTTCAATGTCGCGCCAACAATCCGATCGCGCACGAAACGCTTAGAGCCCGTTACATCATATATCGACATCGTTTATCATCGCATCGAATGCAGCATCGAATACAATACACAACGGCAAACGACATTAAAACTGTCAAAACGCTCTACCGCCACAATCTTCCGGCAAACTGTATGTATCTTTCCAATCTCGCCAATTTCCTGGAAAGAATCGATCACCATGACAATAACGTCTTAGTCTCGCCGAACAATTGGTCCCGCGCTAATTCGATGATAATCGAGGGGTAGGGGTGGGATGGTGTCAAAGAGAGCGAACGAAAGGGATAGAGAAGAAGAAGGAGACAGAGAGAGGAGGGGGGGGGAAGAGAAAGCTAGAGGGAGAGAAGAGATCGGAGCGAAACGGGAGGAAAGCCAAAGATTACGAGAGCGACAAAGAGACACGCGCTGGTGACGGGGCGAGGAGAAAGAGATCGGTATTGCAGCAGACACATCCGCCGGTTACGTTCGATTGGTTGGCAGGGCGGTAGGCCAACAATTACCTAAATGGTCGGGTAAACAATATCCGTGCGTCGAGTTAAGAGCGAAGCGGTAGCTGCCACCGGCACCAAGCTCTCACATCACTCCGTCCATCGGTCGGCCGGTCGGCCGGTCGGTCGGTCGGTCGGTCGGTCGGTCGGTCGATCGGTCGATCGGTCGTTCGGCTGTTATATGTTGGTCCTGATTTGATCGCTACTAGTATCTACAACTTGCTCCCCACCATTCGCGGGAGAGAGAAGGAGAATAAGAGAAAGAAGAGAGAGAGAGAGAGAGGAAGATACCTGCGCTCCGTGTACCTACCACAATTATACTCCCCATGCTGTACACAGAGAGATCGCTATACACAACCGTTGAAGAGGCCGCGATGCGCCGCCCCCACCGCCGACAACACACCGACGATCATCGCCAAACCCACCGAGCGTTTCGCGAACGCGTATACACGCGGCGCGAGCACGCAATTCCTCCACACGTCCTGCCTTCCTTCCCGAGCGCAACGAATGATGCCCCGACGCCGTTCGCGTGGGCACGGAGGGAAAAGGTTCCTTCATCGGCGCCGCTCGACGGAGTCGCTCTGTGGTGGTTAAATCAAAGACAAACCACTTTAGAGAGAGAGCCGGTCCGATCGCGGAAAGGGGCGGAGAGACGCGCAAACGAGAAGGGGGGGGGGAGCGAGGGGGTGGTGGAAGTGGTACCTGTGTGTACACAACCGAATATCTGGCGAAAGCTCACCGCGAGAGACGCTGCACGCGACACTCGTCTCTACGTGTGTTCGTTGCCTCGTCCCCATTCAGACCACCGTACGCGCTCGTGTACGCGTAACCACCTCGTGTACGCGCGTATGTGTGGTGCGACGTGGTGAGTATGCGTGCGCGTATGTGTGCAGCGATCGCACGCGACCAACACAGAGGCAGGCCGGCCCTCGCAGTGCGGTTCTCGGTTACGAGCGTGTTAAAGCACGTGTGTGCGCGCAACCCCTAGCGGAAAACGGTCCGGCACGCCCATTGGCAGCTGACGGTAGCTTTTCGGGCAGCACGAGCGGGGTTAACCACGCCCTATCGAGGCGGAACAAACCCCCCGCTTTTGCCGTTCCACTCGTCGAATCCGCGGCACCACCACCGCTCTCTTCGCGCGGCGGCTCCTCTTCGGCGCTAATAATACGCCGATATACCACCGATTCTGCCTGCCACCATGGCTCTACGCGGGGCTTCCGAGAGTGGCTGCCACGGTACGCGCGCCGCGTCGAGCCACTACCAAAGACATTGCTAATCGTGCGCCCATGCCGCGAGGGATATATTCCAAATCCACACGAACCTGTCCAACGTCGCGACGCATCCTTCGGCAACGCTTGACCATCTCTGACTGTCTCGGTGCAAGTGCAATTTTATTGGATCGAGTCGAGCCGATCGTCGGTTTCACCATTATGACGGATCTAACGAACTAGTGCCGAGATTGTCCGTGTCGGAATCAGTGACGTTCAAGGGGGGAAAAAAAAAAGTGTAATCACGTACGATGGATTTGCGTTGATGTGGCGTTGATCGGAGGCGGATCGATATAAAGAGTGAAATCGTTCGTCGCTCGTCGATGAAAATGTACAAACGGTTTCGCGTGCGACGCGTCATAATTTTCGAGAAACGAGAATGAGAAGACGCGAGATCAGATAAGAGAAGATCGTCTTCCTACTAGCGGGTAATGTGGAGGATGCAGGAAGGCAGGACCGTGTCGCCCTTAGGACCGGTCGTCCTACCGCGAGAGGAAGCCGATATGCGTGCCGGTTTATCGTTGCCGCCGCAAGAAAGGAGGCCTGTGTTACTCGTACGCACTGGCGAGTCTTTCCCGAGGTATGACAGCGTGCGACAGCAGCAGTCACCGTCGAGCTCGCCAATCCTGCGATCCGTCACTGTCGAGAAGGATCCGCAGGGCAGGGAGAAACGGTCGAATGATGAGGAGGAGGAGGAGGAGGAGCAAGACGAGGAGGAAGAGGATGAGGCCGAGGATGAGCGGGACGCGACGGCCAGGCGAAACGTCGTCGTCGATGAGGAGGACGATGAGGAGCAGGAGGAAGAGGAGGAGGACGAAGGACGGTCCGAGAGACATCGGAACGGCAGCTACCACGAAGACGGGGACGTCGAGGTCGACGTGTGCCGCGAGGACGTCGACGAGAGTAATCCCAGCAGCCCGGTGGATCTCACGGCGCCCTCGTCGAGGGGCGTCGCGTCCGAACAATTCGTTCATCCGTTCGCCAACCGCGTGCATTCGTTCACCTGTGTGCAAAGTGCCACTGGCCACGGGCCCGCCGGCCACGGGACACCAGTGTATATATCCGGGCACGGCGCTACCGGCTCGGCCGTCATGACGGTGTGTACTTCCGGTGGTGTGGCGCGCACCACCACCGGCACGTCGACAGGTAGCATTACCACGACCGCCACCAGCACGGTGCAGACGAACAACAAGCGGTGCCTCGCCTTCTCCGTCGAGAATATCCTCGACCCGAACAAATTTACCGGTGGCCGCGTCGTCCACAATCGTGTGCAGCATCGTCGACATCGGCGCGCCGGCAGCGTACACGAAGGTGACTAACGAGCTTTCCGCTTTTTGTTATCTCGGCGCGGCTTCCCGGAGTGCCCGATTGGCGCTCTCGATTGGGAAGATCCGACGTATATCTGTCACACCGCCGAAACACACCGCGGCCATCTCGGCAAATGAACTAAGAATAACCGAATGCGTGATGTCTTAAGCGGCGCGTTTCAGTCAGGATTTAATTGGTTGAAACGGAAAGATAGAGGGAGAGAGTTGGCCGAGTCATCCTTTCGGACTAAACTTAATCTCTTTGACTGGAAAGTCTACCGTCTACATGCATATTATATACGCAAGGTTTTTACATATATTGCAAAACAAATAAATATAATTTTTATGATCTTTATGATCAGAATTCTAACGAATGATTTGCTTACGAAAAATAATTTCTTACACAAAACGATATAATCATTCGTCTTTCTTTCGTATAATTATTAATAAATATAAAAATATAGACTATTCACAAGTCATCATTGCATTACAGAAAAATGTTACGAGCATTGCTTTTATAATATAAACGGAATAATTGTGAATTAATTTATTACCTTGAAGATAAACTTTCATAAAAATTCACGTTGCGTGGTATTATCCGTGGTATTATCCGTGGTATTCAGTTGTTTTTAGCCCAAGAAAAATTGGTGCTCTTTTCGCACCGCCGTCTTTAAAGCTTCCCGCGATCTCTCGAACAATATTTTTTCGCGTCCGGCGACCGCGTCTTAGCCCCCTTGATGCTTCGCTGGTCCTCTTTCACTTCTTCCTCGTTCTAACTTTAGACGCTAGAAGGAGGACTTCTTCTCCGACGATCGTGCAATTTTGGGAGCTGTCGGGCTATTTGTGTACGACGATACACGAGGATTCCGGCAAAAGTGACGATGTGTAGGGATATCTCACTCGAGACGCGCGCGTGAGAATGAAACTCTTCAGCATCCCATTAATGTCATTCTCGATAACGTTAATACAGCCATGAAATGATATGCATGAGTAACATAGTTTCGTAGTGTGATGGGCGCTACGAGAAATTTACGTATAAGAAAATATAATGCTAAAGTAATAGGCAGAGACAGCTCTATGCGAGTAGATGCTATATATTACGAGATATTACCCAAAGGTTACTGAAAAACTTTATCAAATTATGACTGTGACTGATACAATTAGATAACATAATATTTTTATGGCAAATTAATATTTGTCAAAAAAATGCTTGTTATCGCTTTATTTTAGGATAGATTGTAGGATAGAAAAATCGCAATGTTGCGACTGATGGAAAATTTTACATTTTGATTTATTTTATTCTTGTTCTTATTTACATTAAGAATATTATCAACCACTCGCGTTATCACAGACAAAACAATCTGTCATAGGAATTTGCAAGATATTCATGTTGATATATATATATATATATATATATATAACAATTAAGTCGCGATTCCAATTTCGTTGACGTTACATATCAGTTTTTTTGTTCCTCCTTCGTGTACCCCAACTTTGTAACAACGAGGGAAATTTATCGATGGTGGATTGCACAAGTTCGGTGACCGTTCGTCGCGGAGGATCCCAATTTCACAGTTGACTTTCGAATTTAATGGAGTCTGGCGGGCAGACGAGAGAAGTGGTCCTGCAGGCCGATAAGGGACGGAAGAAGCGACCCGAAGAAGGGGTGAAGCGAGGCAGAAGCAGCGGCAGCGGAGTCGGGTAGGGAAAGCGACCGGCGACGGCGACGGCGGCGGCGGCGGCGGCGGCGGCGGCGGCCTGTCGGAGCGTGACAAATTGCTCCGCTAATCTGCGTTAACCAGTCCTTGAATCCCGTCATCGTCGTTCCTTTATCCCGTTACGGGACGCCGGGTGTTTGCGAAATCAGCATCTCGACGGACAGTCCAGCCTGCCGTGGTGTTTCCCGTCGGCGCGGCCTAAGGGCATTTTTACCGTCGATCGAAGAAGGAACGAAGGGGGAAAAAAAAAGAAAAAAAAGAGCGAGGAGGGTGAGAAAAGGACGCGTAGGAAACCGCGCGCGATGGATCGATTGCAGCCGTCGAAATTGAGATTACACGATTGTCGGCTCATCCATCTTACCGGGATGGTCGTCGCTTCCCATTAAAAGTGCATCAGACCCGAGCCAATCCGTTTCAACTGCCGCAACCGGGATCTCCGGTTTCCACCCCCGCCACACGGATCCGCCGCATGGAATAATATCGCCGGTTGTTATGATAATCGCGCAGCATCGCGCCGTATCGCACCGCATCGCGCCAAGCCGCCCAGAAAATTGGCTCTTCTGCATTACAATGACTTCTCTCTCTCTCTCTCCTCTCTCTCTCTCTCTCTCTCTCTCTCTCTCTCTCTCTCTCTCTCTCTCTCTCTCTCTCTCTCTCTCTCTCTCCCTTCTTCCTCTACTCCTTCCTCTCTTCCTCTCTCTCTTCCTCTCTCTCTCTCTCTCTCTCTCTCTCTCTCTTGCTCTCACCCTCTCTTTTTCCGCCTTGTATTTCCCTCTTTCTTGCCCTTTCTATTTGTCGCAGAATCCACGAAAGTCACCCCTCCGAGCATCGCGTTCATGATTCGAGATCCGGAATCTTCCGCTAGATTTCGACGAAATTTATAATTATCTTACGTACGCTTCGGAAAATCCCGAAAGATTATATCAATCCGCATATCGCATCTCGCAGCTGCTACGTTATCGCGAATGAAAGAATCTTTCCGTAATAGATTATATACGACTGAGATTAATTCTTCTCTCAATATAATTTCGATTTGTTTCCTATTTCATGGATCTTGCAAAAATTATATTTCACATATTATATTTCACAGATTGTCTTATTTGTATTTTTAATATCGCAGTGCATTTGCGTATTAAAGTAAGTTGAAGTATCAACCAGATATATATTATCAAGAATCTCTGCTGATGAGATATATCGCAATTTCATTGTTGCAAGCAGGAACTGTTAGAGATCTTGTTTATTGCGTATTTCCCGATCGTGCCACTTGTCGTTAAACACTGTCATTGTGTTTAATGAGGAAAACCGAAATGAGATAAGTATTCCCGTGTCTGCTGCTTTGTGTCGCAGGAAGCTACGATCGACTCCCCCTTGTGTACCCTTAACGTATCCCTTAGGGACCCGGCATACATCCCCGATCGCTTCGCTCGCACATAACCCGCCGTGATCGTGGTTAATGAAGAAGATCTAAATGATATGAATGGTCCTCCAGTCGGTGATTCTACCGCCATAAAAACGCAATGACAGAAACGCGATCTACAGTCGTTAATTCCCTGATGAACTCAATTAATTTCACGTCGTCGCAGCTGTCATACTAGGCGACGAAACGATATTGATAACGCTTCTGTTGAAAAAAGCAATTTCATTATATATTTCCAGATCTGTACTGACAAGTTTACTATTGTATCTTTTAAAATAAAGTTTAATTCAAGACATTTTAAATTATGTTACGTTCAAGACGTTATGGACTTGGAAAAAAAATGCGATAATTAAAAATTATCGCATTGATAAGAAACAAAAATATATATATAAGAAAGAGAAAACACTTTGAAAAAGAGACACTGTTCAACATATCTGATTTTGTCAAAAAACCGCCAAGTACCTCGATTAACGAAACAAACGCAATCTTCGATAAAGCGGACGGACGAGCGACGAAGTGACAAGAAGAAGAAACAATATAAATTACGCAATTCAATTAGACGCAATCAATCGGCGCCGACCAGGTATATCTCGATGTGGGGATACCGCTAGGTTATACGAGAGTGGTATAATCGGCGGAAGAAGGCCAAAGAGAATCGAAGGGTGAGACGGGGAGATGGGAAAGGTAGCCGTTTGGCGGCCTGTACGACGGGGCAAGAACGATCGCGCGTTAACGAGATACAAATCCCATTACGGCGTAAACCTTCTCGATCCGTCGCCCCCTACGGACTTCCAACCCCCAGGCACTGTGCTAGGCTGCAGGCTATGGGCCACGAGCCACGCCAATTCGGATAAAGTCCCACTGTTTCCCTCTCACTTTCTCTCTCTCTCTCTCTCTCTCTCTCTCTCTCTCTCTCTCTCTCTCTCTATCACTTCCTCTCTGTCTCTCTGGTTTTGTTCGGCAGACTATCCCCACTCACGGTATCCCAGGGGCACCCCAACCCCCACGGACCAGAGCCAGGGAATATCTGTCCCCGGGACATCTGCGTGCTGATTGAATCTCCAATCTCCTCTCTCATTGAGCGAACGATTGGCCGTTTCTCTCTTTCTCCATCCCTGCCTTTCTCTGTTCTTCTCTGATTCGCGTCCGAATCGTTCTGTTCTCGCGGGCTCGATTGGCGACTCGATTCGGACTAAACAGCTCGGTCCTTTCGCGAGATGTGAGAAGCAATACTTCCTCGTGACAAGTCTTCTCAGTTACAAATAAGATTCGGATTAAACATAATTCGGTAAGCGATATAATCGCATACTCATATTGGATCCCTAACATTTGCACTATCGTTAAAAAAACAATAATATCAATTTGCTATATTTTATGTAGCGGAATGTATACAAATATCATTCATCTATTAATATACAAGTCTGATTTGAAAATATGCATTTTGTTAGCATATTTCTTTAAACTTATCCTTTAAGAGTTCGAAGTCTATTTTTTTAAATAGCGAATAAAATAAATTTCTATTAAATTTAAGAACATCAGTTCGCATGATGGAAAATGCATTGTCCACATCGCAATTTTATCCCTCGTATAATCAATCCTCGTCACCCGATATCTTGTATCATCGCCATCTCCCTTCGTGGTTGCTCCTCATCTACGTGACACAAAAGTAATCTCGCGGTTATTATTTTCAGACGGTGACTCGCGGGGCGAGTTCGCCTGCGGCAGTGGTCAGGAAGATGAGGAAGGTACACCGGATACCGTCATGGAGGAAATGGAGGAAGATGGCGAGGAGGAGGAAGAAGACGAGGAGATTGAAATGCGGATCATCGATCAGGATTCCAGCAGCGTTGGACGGGAAAATACAACTAGCAGCGGCACCAATACTACCACGACGAACTGCAAGAAACGACAATCCTCGTCGTCATCGACATCCTCGAGTGGCGTTCAAGTACAAAACTGTCAGGGTCAAACTCAAAACGGACAGAATGGCACCGGTGGTGGTGGTGGTGGTAGTGGTGGTGGTAGTGGTAGTGGCGGTGGCGGTAATGGTGGCGGAAGTGGCGGGAGTAACAGTAATACCAGTGGCAAACCTAGAAGAGCGCGAACGGCCTTTACATACGAACAGCTAGTTAGGCTAGAGAACAAGTTTAAGACAACCAGATACCTGTCCGTGTGCGAGCGTTTGAATCTAGCGCTCGAGCTGCAGCTGACCGAGACCCAGGTGAAGATTTGGTTCCAGAACCGGCGGACCAAGTGGAAAAAGCAGAACCCGGGTCTGGACGTAAACAGTCCCACAGTGCCAACGACACCGTCGCATCCGTCGCCATACGCGCCCGCCTTCCTCTTCGCCGCGCATCCTCACCAGCACCCATTGCCACATTCGCACACGCACCCGCATCCGCATGCCCACGTACACCACCCGCCACCGCCGGTACCGCCGCCGCCACCCGGGTACTACCACCCGGCGGCCCCACCTTACCCGCCGACCGGACCGACCTTCTTCGGCCATCATCTGTCGGCGACTCCTGCTGCGACTGCGTCGGGACCGCCGCCGACCTCTACGCCTTCCTCCACCGGCTTGGCTCTCTCGTCTCATCCGCATCCGCATACGCACCCGCACGCGTAGCGAAATCGGCGATGATACCCGGCATCAGCGTCCTCGCCTTCGTAGTCCTCGGCAAGGAAACGGTGGGCTCGTGTGAGTACCTTCGGCCGTGGCAAGAAAAGTACCAGGATAAAAGCGCAAATTACCCACGTTCGTATATTTAGAAAAAAAAAAAGATTTGTAGTCTCTTATTGATATCGTTTGAGGACGTTCGCCAATAGTTCGTCGTTTTTCCTGGTGAAAACGTTTTTCTTGGCCATCGCGATTATTTTCTATCAAATCGGTAGAACATCGTGATTCGTTATTCGTAATGTGAAAAAGAAACAAATTGGCCATTTTTGAAAACAGCACAAGTCAGCACAATTTTTATTGGAAAGTATTGTATGAAATTTTTAAGAATATTTTCAATTCAGAGACGACGTTTAATGTTTTTCTTATTGATTTTAGTTTCTGGACTTGTACCGTTTTCGAAATATAGATAAAATACGGAACAATGTCTTAGCATCGGCAAGTAGTAAAATTTTTGTTCGAAATATATATATATATGTTTAAAGAAAAAAATTGTTGGAACCTAATTAAATATTGAATCGGGCGATCGGTATAATGTTTTCGTTTGTTCGGATCGGAGCGCGTGAGCGGCCCCGATGTTATATTTTGCCTTCCCGTTGCGCACGTGGAACGACTCGATAGCATAATCGGTTTATGTGGGGTGACGTTCGAAAAACGAGCGTATCATTCCAGCGCGACACCAACCGGCCGAACGAAATTTAAATTCCGTGCGTGTTTTCCTCGAAATGTCGAGCTTTGGACTAATGGTGAAGAGAACGATGTCTTTTTAAAATATACGCACACGTCTCCCGACGGGTAACAACCAAGATATTTGGCAGAAGGTAAAACGGTAGAAGGCAGAACTTCATTAAAAAGTTTTGATTGCCTTGGCTTCTCCAGTTTGCACTCATCGCTTCTAACTTGCGAGCTTTGTGTCGTAAAAATTAAACAGAGTTTTTTTTGAGTTATTGTCCGGAGTTAGTCCTTCATCCAATAAAAAAAAAAAAGACCTCGGTACTTTTCTCCAAATAAGATAGAGTAACACGAACACAGCCGAGTCCTTGTCGTTTTCTCACCTTTGTAATATACTCCATACGTCGCCGCGATTAAGCGACGGAAGAAACTCTTAAAGGGAAGTAGATTTTATCAAAAACGCTCTTATATATATAAATATAAATATATATATATATAGTAGTAAGGTGCATGCGTGAAGATGAATGTGCGCAAGAATGCGTGCGAGAATGCTGCGATTGCGATTGTCACGTCGCAAAAATTAGTGAGCAATGTTTCGTGCTAATCGCAAAAACGAGGCACGTCCGGAACGTAGCGATCGTTCCTGTGTAAAATAAAAATCATACGTTACACTCGTAAAAACCTCCATCCAGTATATATATATATAGATACAAATAATCCCTGATGCACACGCACATGCAACAAGGATAAAGATCGATCTTGCTTATCACACTCGAACCTTCGTGTTGTAACAATATCTCGCATTGTTCCGCGTTCCGCGTTTGTCATG